TTTCACGAATAATGAAGCATTGCTAGGTTGTAGAAGTACGCTTGAAACACAGGCATCTATTTTGCTAATGGTGAACAGTGCCTAAGGCTGTTTGCGTAAACAATCAACTCGAAGATGGTTTATCGGGTTGAATGAAGTATATGTGATGCCGCCAAGTTGGCGTAGATGCCGGTGAAAAAAGGAGGGCGTTAGGTGTATTGAATCATTCCAGCTGCTCGCTATGACTGCATTTAATTCACTATCCTGTTGCAGTTGCTATGATCTCTTAGGCGCGAGTGGTAGGCCTACCTGAAATCGGAGTGCAAAGCTACGTCGATGAGAGTCCATTGCATGAAGTCCGATGGAACCTGTCAGTGTGAGTTTTGATTACGTGCCTTTGATCACACGATATCGCTGACTTAAACCACGTGACCAAATGACCTTGGTCTAGATGCCCGTCAAAAAGGAATTGCCGAGATATATGAATCTGACAAGTTCATTTAGTTTCTGCTCACCAAAAGCTTTTTTGCCAACCATTTGCATGTAATTACATTCTCATGAATGAAACTTCAGTTGCACAAACTTAACACAGCCACATTTAACTGTAACCAAATTTTAAATTTCGCCTTGTTTAATATCAAATAATGATTCTGAAACACGTTTATCTGACCACGTCTTCAAGGTGACATGCTGTAATACGATGGTGGTTTGTACTTTGAAACAGCATTCTTGTACCTCATTGGGTTGGCTGGCCTTCGGGCCATGATAGTAGCCCAAACACCTTCTCTGGGCTGAATATATATTTTGCCCTAGTATTGTGTCTTCTTTCGTCTTCAGGGAAGTCTCAGGACCCTACAATGCCACCGAGTCAAGCAAAACTGATGTTCGGGGAAGCAGCATTAATTCTGCAGAATAAAACATAAATTAAACTCTACAAAACTTTGCTGTACAAACAAAACTACTGCGCGTCGGCAGCATTTACTTTGCCTCATCGTCACTCACCGCCTTTTGCTACATATAACTGATGTTCGACTTAATTTTTTTGATTTGTAATTTTAAATAAGTATTGACTATTTGTTGCCATTATCAAAAACTCCTTGACTTATAAATTCCATGGCAGTTTGTTTTATTTTCTTACATTTTTGGCGGCCGCCTCCACTTCTATTGTCACGCTGTTCGAAAATGGTAGGTTACACTTTGAAGGGTGATTCTTGATGTAGACGAAAAAAAGGCGAAACAACGGTCGCTCTAAGAAGGGTCGAGGCCACGTTCAGTTTATTCGCTGCAGCAACTGTGGCAGATGCTGTCCCAAGGATAAGTGTATTCCCAAGTTTGTTATTAGGAATATTGCCGAAGCAGCCGCGGTTAAGGATCTGACAGAGGCGTCTTTTTATACTGGTATGTTTGTTCGCTTAGGATATCACCATATTATTCACTTTACATGGCGCTAAAATTTGGGTGGTTTTGCATGCAATGAATCGGTTTCTTATCTATCACCTCCATAAATGTTTCGACCTCTGATTAATTCCTCATATTACTGCAAATCTTCATCCCTTTTTCTGATATAAGCCACAGACAAGTATACCGACTTCTGCGTCATAAGAGGTGCTGTGATTAACATACATAAATGAATGTTTTAGGTTACACATTACCAAAGCTCTATGTCAAGCTACAATACTGTGTTAGCTGCGCGATACATGGGAAAATCCTGCGGGGTCGCTCAAAGGCAGATAGGAAAATCCGTAAGCCTCCTCAGCGTCGCATCGAGTTTAACCGTAACTAAGTGTGAATAAATTGTTTTTGAGGTTGTATTTTCCTGTATAAAGCTCGGTGAGTTTCATTTGTTTGCGCAATTTCATGTATGGATATGTGGTTGGGATCACGGTTGGTTCCATGGAATTTCTGATTTCTTGTAAGTGTTAGGTTACTTAGCGTCTATAGTCGATAATCGGAACCGAGGCACAACTATTTGATGGATAGGAACGGGTTATTCTACGATCTTCCTATCCGGAATGTTTCTATAAACTCGGATACCTCTATCACCGTTTTTCTCTTATTCTTTGACGCTGGGGTGGTTGTGACTGTCGGGCAACCCTTGGGTAAGTGGAGCTGCGTTTAGATTTACTGGCGAATGTGATTTCGCTGCCTTGCAAAACGGGCATAAGCTCCTAGTCTCTGCCTGGAGCTGCTTCCATATGTGCCACTTTTAATTGCCAGGAGGTTGATGGTGTCCATTGCTTGCGCACCACTACGGTGGTTTTCTCTACCGTATAAAGGGCTGAGGTGATATACGGATTCGGCTGGGCTGCGGTCTCGCTGGTTTTATCATTTTGGGCTGTTCATCCCGTAGTTAATGAAACTGACCCGTCGTCAGAGGCGGAATCCATCGCTATCTTGAATTGGATTCTAGTTACGTGCTCCGTAGTGGTAAAAGCGTGAATTTGAAGGCACAGTGTTTACATGCAGTCTTTGATAACCATAGTAGAGCTGATCATCTTTCATTAGACCACCTTGCGAAGCGTGACCAGAATAAATCATATAAACTGGTATACTAGATAAGCTCGTAAGGCCCGAAAATCCCTTCAGAGGGGTGTAGCTCACATCAT